ATTATGTGGCCATGTTATTATGACACAAACACTATGTGCATAAAGTTCAAAGTCCTGTTAGCTAACAATAAAATCTATTCATTCAAACTACAAATGAACAGATTTCAAGTTGCACTGCTAAGCTGACATTTCAATAGGAGGAAAATAATATTCTCTCTTTCTTCTATAATAAAATGATGAACTGGTAGTTTACTAATGCTACAAAGCAAATTGCATTGCTGTTGTTTCACTAACAGTAAAGGGGAGGCACTCAAGACTTTTGTCACTGCTCCAATAACACTTAGTTTTCTTGCAGTCTTTAGTATCTGACTACTTAGCTCAGTAAAAGCTAGAAAAGTGAGTGGTTTGAGGCAGTATTAGAAAAAATAAATAAGGTTAATGAAGGTGCTCATTTAAAAAAAATGACTGATCTGTTTATAGGATGAAACAGAGGGACCATTTCCTCACTTTTCTGTCCTTTAGCTTCAGTGAATGCCTTGGGCACGTGCACCTGCCCTGTTGAGAAAGGGTGAGCACTTCACAAAAACAGCTTCTGAAGAGACTTTAAATTAAGCTGTCTAATTCAATATGCACAGCTACTTCCGAAATATTGTGAAATGGATTTCAACTATAGTTAGTAGTTAATAACAAAGTGATGCCGCCAGAGCAAAGTGAGAAGCTTAAAATGAATTAAAGCTGTGAAAAGGTAAAAATGGAGTTTCATCAACTGACATTGAAACATCTAGTTAAAAGTATATGATGTAAAAATGATGAAAATGTTAGGTTTAGCACCAGGCAGAGCAAGAGATAAATAGATAAAACAAGCCTTTATTGCTGGCATGGGAGGGCTGCAGGAGATTGCAAGGACCCTCGGAGGAGGGAGCTGGGGAACAGATTTTTACTAGATTGGACTAGAGTTGGAGTTAATACGGGCAGGCCATGTGTCATATCTCGAGGCGATTGGGAGTTAGTTGGCGCGTGCGTAAAAAGGAGTAGGAAGTTTACCTTGGGGTCTGAAGAAGAACAAAAAAATATGTGTGCTGGCCAGCGCCATTTTTGGGATTCTGGATGTGTATCATTCTTGTCCTTTTGTTGTTAAGGGGCGTCGAAGTGAATCATCATTTCACGATCTTTTACTATGGTCTCAAACTTACCCTTCTTATTAAGATCTAGGAGAATTTAAAAGACTTTGCTCTTTTCAGATTAGGTAAGATAGGTAGATGGGTAAATAGACAGACAGACTGTTCAAAAATGAATAGATAAGATGTTTTGGATAGATGAATGGATTTTTTTGAAGCCTGCAGAACGCTTATGATTGTTTCTGAGTACTTCCAGGCAGCCAGAATTCTCATCTACACTTATCTTCCTAGACATTAGTATTGACATGGCAAAAAATGGCCACACACAAAATGAAAAACATTAATAAGAAACTTGAAAATCTGGAATTAAATCACAGAGGACTCATAGCCTAAATAAATATCCACAAAAATTATATATATATGTATATATATATATACACACACACACACCCCTATACACACACACACACATGCACACACGCACACATGCACACACATATATATACATATATATTCCTAATATTTGAAAAGCTTCTTAAACATTAGAAGAAAAATAACAACTCACTGGATAGAAAAGTGAACAGAATACATGCTCAAATGGCTCATACATGTATATGAAAAATGATCCACTCACTACAATAGAAATGTTAATAAAATATGCTAAGCTGTGATTTTAAAAATCTATACTGAAAAATTTTTAAGGTTTGACAATACACACTGTTGGCAAGGCTGGTGATATAGCTCAGTAGCACAAGCGCCTTCCTGGCAAGTGCAAGGTCCTCAATTCAATTCCGGGTACCAAAATAAATGAATAAATAAATAAAAGACAGGCCCTCTTATCCATTGCTAGTGGAAATGGAGAATTTTGTAACGATCATGTAGGAGGATTTGATAATATCTAGAATTGCATAGAATCTGTTTGTTTGAACCAGCAATCCTTCTACTATGGATATATCCCAGATTGACTGTCAAAATTTTCAAACTACATATATAAAAGGCTGTTTGTTGAAACTGCATATGTAAAAGGTTATTTATTGAAGCTTAAATAAATTGAATTTTAAATCAGAATTAAAGCATTGTTTTTTAATCAGAAAAGATTGGAAACAATCAAAAAGTCCACCCACAGGGAAACTAGTTGAATAAACTGCTACATTAATTCCAATAAAATACTATGGAAAGAAATATGAAATGTGTACACCCATGTTTACAGCAACCTTATCCTCAATAGCCAAAAGTTAGAAAAAACCTGTTTATTGAGATAGATAAATAGCTAAAAAAAACCTGTGGTTTATGCATACAGTGGAATGGCATTTAGTCTTAAAAAGGAAGGACAATCTGACACATGTTACAATATGGATGAATTTTGAAGACATAGCATTTAGTGAAACAAGCCAGTTACAAAAGGACAAAAATGTATGCTTTTCTGCTTATATAAGGTACTTAGAGTAGGTTAATTCACAGAGACAGAAAGTAGAACGGCACTTGCTAAGAGGAGTGAGGAGTTACTCTTCAATTTTGCAATATTGAAAAGAATTTCAAAGATGAATGGTGGTTGTACAACAGTGTAAATGTACTTAATGACCCTAATTGTACACCCAAAAGTCTAAGATGGTAAATGTTATTTATGTATATTTTACCACAGTTTAAAAAACTAATATAATATAATTAATATAATATAAGGTTTATAAAGCTCTTCAGAACATATTATGTTTATATTGTACATAAAATATGTAAAGAATGCAAGAATGTATATAGTGTCATACTATTTCCTTAAGAAGGAACAGGAAGGAATCAAGTATGGAGAAGTGTTTGATTATATTTTTGAAAATAACACTGGAGACATAAACCAAAAACTTAAAAACAATTATAGACTGGGGTGGCACAAGATAGAAGGGATAGGAATAAAAGGTAGAGTAGACCTTGTTTTGTATCTGAGAAGATGATTTATTTTATAGATTTAATTCTGAAAATATTTAAATCTTTTAAATCATAATGAGAAATAAAACATTTAAGAGTGCTAAATAAAACAATGAAACCAGTATATTTAACTTGGTATAGAGTTGATAGTGCAAGGAATTATTTCAAGTGAATTTGAAATACTGAGGGCTGGGGATATAGCTCAGTGGCACAGCGCCTGCTTGGCAAGTGTGAGGTCATGAGTTCAATTCCCAGTACCAAAAAAATTTGAAGTTTCACACTACACTATAAGTCAAACATGCTAAGGAAAAGAAGAATTGCAATGAAAGGAAGATTTTAAACTGTTTCAGTGATCATATTTCTAATAATTGTATTGTTTTCCTGAAACTGTACTATAATATAATATAATTTAATGTGACACAAATAGCTTATATGTTATAGAGAATATAATTAACAAATGATAGCATAAATCAAACAAGTATTATGTTAATGTCATTAGGAACAAAGGTTTTCTATGAGACAAAGATAAAAAAATAAAATAAAAATGGCAAGAGACATCTATTCCTGGATTTGAATTGGAAATATCAATATAAACTAATGATGTATTTTTTTGCTTAAAATTTTGTCTTAGCTCTGTCATTGAACAGCTAGTTTTTAGCCCACCTGTAAAGCTCTAAATACAAGAATCAACTTTGTGGCAATGGTAAGCCCCACAATGGTCTCTTAATACTATTTTCCACTGAGAAGAAAAACAGTTTCTTGGAAAGATAGTGTGTTCTAGATCTGGAGCTAGAAATACATAAGGAGTCTGGAACATTGTCTCATACCAGGAAGCTATCCAGAAATACTAGGGTCCTGTCAGAAGAACTCAAGAGCCTGAAAAGATACCAACCACTTTGAGATAGGACAATTTGAACATCGATAATAATAACATGCACTGACTTAAACACATTAAAAACACTTAATCCTGTGAATTCATAATGATACAAAGAAAGCAAAATTCACTGTCCATCTTTGGAAAATGCTAAGCAATCTTCTCTTAATTTTGAAGCCTGATTATTACAGAGAAATGGACCCATAATTTTGCTTTTCTGTGTGAGCTATATCTTTGTGTAACCAAATACTTTAAAGACACACTCCAGTAATAAACGAAGCCTAATGGTAGAATGCCAACTTCAAATGATACGGTGGATCTAGTTAGTGATCATCAGTGGATGCTGACACACAAGTCAGACAACCAGCCATACTCTAAATCTTGGTGGAATAACACAATTATGACACAGCCTTGATGGAGACTTAGTAAAGAAAAAAACTCAAAGTTTCATGCTGCTAGCTAGATTTAACCTGTAGATGACAGGAAATGTAGAAGAACTGTTTATGTGATACTAAGAAGATTTAACTAGCAAAATCTAGCAAGTGGGAAACCATGGGAAAAAAGAGAGATGAAAAGACATGTGTACATTAAAAGATGTTTAATAAATTTGTCAATTGAATGTAACAAATGGAGTTGTGTGAATCCTAGTTGGAAAAGGAATAAAATAAAAAAAATTATGAGGCAATCTGGGACACTTGAATACTGAGTGAATATGTGATGATAGAAATGATTTTTTGTGAGCTGTTTTCAAAAATATTTAAAAGAATAATGCTATTGTCATTTTGGAAAGAGTCTGTTTAGAGATTTTTACTGAAATATTTAGTGATAAAATGACATAATATCTGAGGTTGGCTTTAAAGTCTATAACTTGTGGTCTTGAAGAGGTGGGAGAATGACCAATAAATTTGAACATGCACAAAATATTTTTGGACACTTTCTTTTTTTTTATTTTTGGTACCGAGAATCAAACTCAGGACCTTCCACTTGCCAGGCAGGTGCTTGTACTGCTGAACTATATCCCCGGCCCTATTTTTGAAGTTTAGCCATAGTACATAGAAATTTGTCAGATTATTTTGTATATTTTTATACACAGCACGTTTATAATTTTTCATCACAAGAAAAACTAAAAATATCAAAGAAATGAAACTTACGTTAGTATGTTGAGAAGAGTTCCTATGAATGATTAATTCGACGTCTGGGAAAGGAATATCCATGTTCCCATCTTTAGTAGAAGTCTTCACTTGCACAGTGTGGTTCTCATCTTGTAGATAAGGTATGGCATCTGGCAGCTCCCAAATCACCACAAGGAAAGTATCATCTTCCTTACCCTTCAGCAGAAATTCAGTGCGTACATGAAAAGTTCTATTAAGTAATTTTTATTTTGAGCCATATTAAAGAGACAGAGAAAGAGTGTACCAGTGTATCCACCATCCAGCTTTATCAAATTTGAGCCCTGTTGTATGAATCACCTTTCTGGTTTCAGGGACCAAATACCTGACACACAAGATTTAAAGAAGGAGTTTGTCTGACTCCTGACTTCAGCCCATGATGGCCAGCTCCAAGGCAGGAATATCATGGCAGAAGTGTGTGGTGAAACAAATCTGCTCTATTCATGGCAGCCGGAAAGCAGAACAGGAAAATGGTGCCAAAGTCCAGATATAGTACCTAAGACCATGCCTCCATGACCCACCCAGACATGGTGAGGAGCTTGTTTCACTAATCCCTAGGCCAGTGATGGCGAACCTTTTAGAGCTTTCAATGATACAAACAGCCTGCTGTGGCAAGTGTGCCATAGGATTGCCACCACTGGGCCTAAGCTGTTCTCAAACCGATCAAGTTGACAGTCCAGCATAACCACTATGCCTGTTCACCCTTACCAATATAATTCCTCTTTCTTCTCACTCAGAGTAAACAGTAGCCTGAATATAGCATTAATCATGAAGTTTTAATATTTCTACATGCACACAAATATGTTCTCTATATATATGATATTGCTTTTAGGCTTTTAACCATTTCACAAATGCTATCAAACTATGGTTTCTTCTTCAACTTGCTTATTTTACTCAGTATCATGTTTTTGAGATGTATACAAGTTATTCTATGGAACTCTGGCTCATTTATTATCTGCTTTATAATATGATATGAATATTCTACAATCTGTCCATTTTTCTACAGAGGTGTTACTAGTTTTTCACTGTTTGTCTTTATGGACAGGTTCCAGTTTCTACAGCATATGACTGGGGCACAATTATCGAATTATAAGATATGTGTATCATCAACTTTATTAGATATTGCCACATGGTTCTTCCTGGCAAGGATTGCCTATGTCTACTCTGACCAGGCACGCATAATAGTTCCCTTTTCTTTATATGCTTGTTAATATTTAAAATATTTGACTAAAACTTTTGGAAGCCTATCTGATGACTTGGAAATGAAACATTTAAAAATTAATTTTTTTTTTTTTTTTTGGTTTTTCTCCGGTACCGGGAACCGAACTCACGACCTTGCGCTTGCCAGG